CAGGTCCAGTACACTCTGCCGATTGAGCTATATAGCTGTAAAGACCTATAATAGCTCTATTGACCTATCTGAAATAGGTGTTTTGGGCTATTTTCAAGTGATTTTCTTTTTTAAGGAAACGAAACAAAGTTGCATTTAAAAGAAGATTGTATCATTAAGTTGATAACAAAAGACATTAAATATAAGTATTCTTTTTAAAAAATAATGATGTAAAAAAATCGGAAATTTTACATTCATGAAAAATGAAAATAAACATCTAACTGTATGCTCTTTGTAGTCAACATAACCATAAACCTTATTGTTTAATGCGACTTTGCTTTAATTTAATGAAATTTGAAATCTTAGAAAATATAGCTCAATACAGCTATAATTTATAGGTGTATATAGCTATATAGGTCTTTATAGCTATATAGCTCAATCGGCAGAGTGTACTGGACCTGATATCCACATGGCATGTTTCCCTGCCAAATCCAAAAGTTGAGAGAAGGTTTATATACTCATTCCTATGATCGACAAATATAATATTCTTGTGTGTATGTGTTTTCAAGGGTGGTTTGTAAACCTAGGTGTTTCGGTAATCGGTATGCGGTACTAAGTTCAGTTAGTTCACTGTCAGTCCCTAAGAATAGGATGTTTTCTTTGGCAATTCAAGAATCTTCCCCTGAAGTTGTATTTATAATCCTTCTGTACATAATGCCTTGTTATATCTAAGTTAGGATGTATTTGCATTATTGTATCTGGAAAAGAATATTTTCAAATCGATAAGGAATGGTGCAGTAAAAAGTTGGCGAGTAAAACTTAAAGGTCACTAGTCATATGGCTAGTGATCAGGTCCAGTACACTCTGCCGTTTGAGCTATATAGCTGTAAAGACCTATAATAGCTCTATTGACCTACCTGAAATACAAGTGAAGGTCTTTTGAGCTATTTTAAAGTGATTCTCTTTTTTAAGGAAAACGAAACAAAGTTGTTTTTTTAAAAGAAGATTGTATCATGAGGTTGATAACAAAAGACATTAAATATATTATATAAGTATTCTTTTTAAAAAATAATGATGTAAAAAAAATCGGAAATTTTTCCATTATGAAAAATGAAAAATAAACATGTAACTGTATGCTTTTTGTAGTTAACATTACCATAATCCTTAATGTTTTATGCAACTTTGCTTTATTTTAATGAAAATTAAAATCTTGAGAAAATTTAGCTCAATACAGCTATAATTTATAGGTGGATATTAGCTATATAGGTCTTTATAGCTATATAGCTCAATCAGCAGAGTGTATACTGTACCTGGTTATACCAAAATGCAACTTTGAGCCCTGTAGTTAATAAATTAACACAATATTAGAGAGTGACAACTCTCACTATTTGTCAATCATATTATTTAATTACTATCAATTAAAATAACAAAACTGTACTTTTGATTTTAGATTTTTTTTTGTAGACTGCAAGAGAATATCATCAAGTGTGCATCCTATTTCCTCAAACAGTGACTATTATGCAGATGAAAATGGCAGCCACAACATCGGATAGTCTTGATGCACATTCCTCTATAAAGAACGATCTCAACTTCTTCAAAGAATGGTTAGCTACGATTGACCCTTCAGTGTTTGGTACAAGTACACAAGAACTTCAAGACTCTGATTCAGCAGAAGATAATCAAGTAAAACCGACAAGTAAGAAACAAGGTAAGTTATCAACTAGTAAGTGTTTGTGTTGATTTGTGTTACAGCCACTTTTCATTATCTGAAATTGTTGTCCTGGATCGATAAACACTACTTATAAGATTGTACTGCTGTGGTTTGTATATATCAAACTAATTTTCCAGAAGCTTCTTGTCACCCTGGTAAAAGACTAGTAAGCTAGAGGTCCGGTTTCGACTCCTGGCGTAGGCATTAAAAAAATAATGACCTCTGTAACTAGAAGTCTATGACATAAGTCTTTTAATTTGTGATTTTCATTTTATTCATGATTGAATTTATCAATGTACATGTACAAACAATAACTAACCTAGAGGTTTATTTTACAAAATTCAAAATAGCATGTATATAAATTACTAATATAAATAGTAATGGGCTAATGATCAATTATAAATGAAAATTGATCATTAAGAGTTGCTCTTACCGATTTTGATTATTGATGAAACATCCATATTGTATACCATGTTAATTATTCATTGAAAGTCATTTATTCTTATGATTTTTATTAGGTCACCTGAGACAAAGTCTCAAGTGACCTATTGTGATCGTCTTTTGTCCGGCGTCGTTCGTCGTGCGTCCTTNCGTGCGTAAACAATTTACATTTTCGACTTCTTCTCCAAAACCCCTATACTAATTTCAATGAAATTTTGCAGAAACTTTCCATGGCCAAAGGTCAACTAAAATTGTGAATTATATGGTCCCCAGCCCCCAGGGGCCTGAGGGGCGGGGCCAAAAAGGGTAAAATTGACTAAAATTTCAAAAATCTTCTTCTCAAGATCCAGATATGGTAGAGTCAAATACTCTTCATAGATAGAAGGGTCTTAAGGTGCTTTACTAAAATTGTGAATTTCTTGACCCTGGGGTCTCACGTTTCCCCCT